AAAAACCAGCTAAAAAATCTGCAGTTGCTCTTTATAAATGAATACTTCCTAGAAAAACTATCTATTTATATGATTGATCAAAATATAATGGCGTTTGGATCAGATTCCATAAATTTAATGACTGAATCTGGTGACAATGGCGGACTATTAACTCATTTGGAGGAGCTCAATGGAAAAAAATGTTTTTGGTCAATTTGCATGTTACATACAAATGTAAATGAGTTTGAACTTATTGGCTGGGGGTGATGAACAAATCTAAAATCCAAATTTTACATCTAATATAACAAAAAAAGATTTTAAAAAGTAATAGATTCTCCGATGGAAGTATCTTACTATCCTCTCTATAGAGGATAGTAAGATACTTCCTAGAGAAAAATTTGTTTAGCAAGAGACTAAGACAGCAGCTGTTGTTTTTGAGTTGTGGAGACGAGATAGTTTTATCAGAGCAAAAATAGATCACAGAAATGTTGTTCCAATTCTAAATTCCAAGAATAATTTAATCAAACTATTTAGTTGATGTTCAAGCTTGATTTTTGCTGATGAATTTCTTAAAATTGTGAAACATTTTGATGTTTCACAGTTTTAAGAAACTTAGGTTTTAAGTTTGATATAATATGTGTGACCACTCTTTCAGTGTTCAAAGTGTTATGATCATGAAAAATTTGCAATCCCCTCATTTTAGAAAGATCAAAAGATTGTCCGATGAAATTTAAAACCCGTTGATGAATACATTTTGAGTATAAGATAGTAAAACTATATATTTTGTTAGCTCATCACCCTAATGCATAAGGGGGAAATGAGCTAACACGCATGAGCAAATTTTTTAAGTGTTCTAGTTTTCATAAACTATTTGGTGCTACTTTTGCAAAATATTTTTATTTGACGTAAGCATGAGTGTACCTAACTTTGAAGTTGGCTGATGGGAATGGGCTGATGGAGCTGGAAAATGGCTGAAGGTGTCATGTGAAACATAAAAAAAAATTTTGGGTGCTCATAAAAAAATCTAATTCAAGACTCTTTTACATAATTTGCTTGGTTTTTTGGTACTGTAAAAAGTATTTATTCAAATCGTCAGTAACACATATATAATAGCAATAATAATATTAATAGCAATAATAATAATAGCAATAATAACAATAATAACAATAATAATAGTAATAATAATATATTTATATTATTATTATTATAATTTTTTTTCGAGATTGGGAATGAGTATTACGGCTCTTCTTTGAACCTTAAGTTCTACTATATCATCGATAAGAGTTGGGTTCCAAACTGGTACTGATTATTCAAGATGAGGTCTCACTATTGTAAAATATAATGACTTAACTATATCCAAATTTAAAATAATATTTAAAGTAAAAGTTCTTTTTATTAAACCCAGTGACCTATGCGCGTTAGCGACTGGTGATTTTATTTGCTCATGCAATTTTTTTAGATCAGCTGATATTAATATAACTGAGCGTCTTTCTAGTTTTTTTTCTTTAATATCGTAATTTCCATCTGTTTTGTTAAGTATACTTGTATGCTATATTTTTAGTACCAATGTACATAATAATGCATTTTTCTTTATTAAGTTTCATTACTTTGAAGTTCAAACTGACATTAATTACTGATTATGATGAAATTGTTTTAAATAGATTTGCTACTTTTAAAACAATATCATCATAATCAGTAATTGAAATTAATTTGCTGTCATTAGCAAATAAATTGCATTCAGAAGTTAACAGGTTAGATAAATCGTTTATGTATATAATTGAATAAAGTGGACCCAATACAGAGTCTTATGGCACTCCACTAAATATTTCACACTAATTAGATTCATTTTCACCCATAACTATCCTTTTTTTTCTACTCATTAAAAATCGTTTGATCAAAGCTAGCAACATCCGTTTAATGCCATAGGCTGCCCTGGAATTTCTATAGAATTTCTATAAACCTTTGAAACATATGACCTATAGAAATTCTATAGAAATTATGATTTTTTTTTAGGTTCTTCCACACGGAGCACCGCGGGAAAGCATTTAGCAAGAAGTTCACGCCTTCTTTCTTACCAATGTCGCTTACTGGGCTAGAGCCGGCGTCGAACCTCTTGGTTCTGAGTCAGAACTCTAACTACTGCGTCACGGCTGCTCAATGTCTATTTATTTTCTATAGAAATTGCTATAAAAACTAACAAAGATTCTATAGAAATTCTATAGAATTCTATAGAATTTCTGTATGCCATATTTTAAAAGTTTATAAAAATTCTTTAGGACTTTTTTTCTTGGTGCTGATTTTTTTAATTTATCATTTATGTGTGACTTTATCATAAGTCTTTTCAAAATTCATCTATAATCAACCTCCTTACCATCATTAGCAGCACTTGTAATGATGTCAATATTTCAAAAAGCCAATTAGTGTTTTAAAATACAATATGCAAATACAGTTTCGTTTTCACCCAATTTTAAGATTTTTTGTTGAGTTCTTATATGAAAACCCATCTTGCCCCATTCGCCATGTTGCCCCGCTTTCCCCTATATATATATATATATATATATATATATATATATATATATATATATATATATATATATATATATATATATATATATATATATATATATATATATATATACATTTGTATTATTTGTATTGTATATATATATATATATATATATAGGGGAAAGCGGGACAACATGGGGCCGCATGGAAAGTAACACCACGACAAGCTACTACAAATTTTTTGCAATTACTAAATTACTGCAATTGCATGAACAGCCTTAACAACGGGTTGTTTATGTCGGAAAATAGGTATTTTAGAGTTTTGCGCCATATACACTGGAATCAACTTTTGATAACTGTTTTTCGTTCATCAGTGCATTTTTTTATAATGGGAAAAAGAAAATATGATTTAAATCTAATGAGGAAATCAGATGGTAACAGGATATTTAAAAATATATACTTTAGAGGAAATCAGTTTCTTTTTTTTCCTCCTCTATCTCCACAATCTCCACTATCTCCACAGTATGCAATACAAATAGTTTTACTTCTCAATTGGAAATCACTAATTTTTAAAAAAGTAACACAATGGAGTATTAATAGTAATGTACAAATTAATAATTTGAATGAATTACATTCATGTTTTATATTTATTAGCACAGACATTTTAAAATCAATTATTATTTTAATTGAAAATTGTCTACAATGCCTAGTGATTCATTTTAAATCTCAACTGATTTTAAAAAAAAGAAAGGATTGGTTTAAAAAAAAGAAAGGATTGGTGATATTTTTTAAATTTTTTTCTATAAGACTTTCTTGCAATTGGAATAAAGACATAAATTCCAGGGATTCATTTGGAGTGTTTACATTCTACAGCATAGCAGACAAATTGACGACTGAACTAGAAAGAAGAGGTAAAGTTTACATAGATAAGTCAGCACAGTTTTTATTTATCAATAACCTACAGTTAAGCAAAGAAGAGTATTGCAAAAGCTGTCATGCCTTGGTCAGTTTTTACCAGGAAGATTTCTGCATGGACATCGTTGGAGAACTACAGCACTTTCAAAGTACACCAGCTTAAAGTTTCAGGAAAATAAAAGTGATTTTACTTATGCTGAACTTTATGATGTTGTTGTTCAAGATAAACTTCATAGTGTTTTTCCGAACCTGAGTATTGCACTTTGCATTTTCCTTACTTTTATGCTAATAAATGTTTCTGCTGAGTGATCCTTTTCACAGCTTTAGAGACTCAAAAACCCATGTAGAACAACAATGAAGCTGGAGAGATTGGCCTCTGCATCGAGGCAGATATGCTTACTTCAGTCGACTTTGACAATGTAATCAAGAATTTCGCACTTTTAAAGTCTAGGAAACGAAATGTCTGATGATGAAGTTGTAACAGTTACTAGTAGTGTAGTAGTTTCGTAACTGTTTACATTATACTCATACATGTTGTTACAACTTACATCATCATAATTACATGATTTGTGACAGTATGATGTATAGATTATAGCATGTGTATATAATATTGTGATAAATATTAATGTTTCACAGCAACTTGCACTTACCTGCTGTTGGTTGGCTATGTTCTGGCACCTCACTTGGTTAAGTACTTAGGGCCCCTGAATATGTTAATCCGGCCCTGTATATATATATATATATATATATATATATATATATATATATATATATATATATATATATATATATATATATATAAATGTATATATAATATATTTTTTGTGAATGTAGAAATATATATATATATATATATATATATATATATATATATACAGGGCCGGATTAACATATTCAATATATATTTCTACATTCACAAAAAATATATTATATTTATAATATATTTTTTGTGAATGTAGAAATATATATGTATATACATATATAATATATATATATATATATATATATATATATATATATATATATATATATATACATATATATATATATATATACATATATATATATATATATATATATATATATATATATATATATATATATATATATATATATATATATATATATATATATATATATATATATATATATATATATATATATATACAACTTTTGACTACTTGCCTGATGATTGTGGTAACACATGAAACTTTAAGTCGCAATAAAATATTATAAATATTAGCATTTAGCTAATTCCTGATACTGCGGGTAACAGTAATATATATACTATATAGCTCTAGTTTATCTATTGAGCACTCTTTAAAATATACATTATTATACATGATAATATAAAGAAATCATCTTTAATATTTACATATATGCACCCACGTATATATATATACATATATATATATATATATATATATATATATATATATATATATATATATATATATATATATATATATATATATATATATATATATATATATATCTACATTCACAAAAAATATATTACAAGAGCAAAACAGGGTCGAACGAAGCAAATACTTATTATTGTATTCATATAACAAGCCAAATTTTTTATAATGTTATTATAGGAGTTATTAACGTGCTGGTACATGGGATTTCTTGTGGTTTTATTGCTCAGCTTTCTTGGATTTGCCATAGAAACAAAACACGATAATGTTAACGACCATTTGTTTAACAGTTTTTATTGGGGAGTGGTAAGATTTATATTGTTTTTATGACTGCTGTTGTTAAACAAAATTTTATTAGTTTAACATTTTCAGGTTTTTGAAAAAATTGCAAAAATTGTGCTATTTTCTGTTATTTTGTTTCTTTTTCTTACTTTTAAAATGGAAATCCTATTAAATACGCACACAACGATTTTGGCGCTTTTTTCTTTTTTTAGGTGCCCCAAGAAGTCCATTCGGTCTTATCACAGAGCACCGCGGAAGAGCATTTAATAGGGAGTTCACGCCTCCTTCCCAACCGATGTCGCAAAACTTGCTCAGAGGTTTTAACTTGCTCAGGGGTTTTAACCCCGGATCTTACGTTTCTGAGGCAAGTGCGCTACCACTGCGCCACGACTGCTTTTGCAATCGCTAAAAAAAATGCTCCCATTGTTATCCATTAATTAGGAACAGTGTTTTAAAAAAAATGAAATGTCTATAAGAAATTTTGTTTTAACCCTGGGAATTACCCTGGAAATTGCCCTGAAAGCTTTGACGATGAAAATCGGCATCAATTTTGTGCATGAACAAATTCCTCCTGCTTTAAATTCGTGTCAGTCACAAAAAAATCTACATATAAAGAAGGTACTTTAAACTCTTTTGCAATTTGAAAAAATGAAAAAGCCAATTTACCAACCAATCAAAAAATTATTTTTTAATAAATTTATTGAAGCATAAATTATATTTTAAACAAAAGCTTTATATTTATTCGTAGATAGTTACTAAATACCTTTAAATATTTGTACTTATAGTTATATTTGTTGGTAGATAAGTGCTACGCACCTTTAATTATCTTTTTCAGTTATTAATTAATAACCGTATTACCATTTCGGTTCTTAATTAAAACCAGATTAAACCGTATGTCTATTTGAAGCACTTTAAAGTGCTTCAAATAGACATGCAGTTTAATTATAGAGCATAAAGGAAAAAAAAAGTTAACTAGAAAACTTAACATCTTTCTTACCATTGTTGCATGCATGAAAATACATAAGACCTTAAACCTTTTAATTTCTGAAGCCAACGCTTTAACCGATGCTCATTTTTTATTGAATTTTGTTTTAGTTTTGAAAAAAGTTTTTTTAAAAGCTCTAGAAATGATTTAAACTGCACATAGTTTACAAAGTAAACTGCACATAGTTTAATGTAAACTTTAAAGTATATAAGATATTTTTTAATTAGTTGATAACTATGTAACTACGAAAGCAACAAACACGTGACTCTTTAGTGCTCTTTACCTGCCCGCACGCATCTTTTAAATTTACATGTAATTATCGAAAATAATTATAGCCGGACGTATTTGTCCATGACTGTATATAATCAATAAAGAAACTAATTTAATTTGTAGTAATATTAACAGATATGTAGTCAAGATAGTAAAGGTCGAGACCAGATGTAGTCAAGACCAAGACATTTGGATTCGAGACCAATACCAAGACCAAGACATCAAAAAGGTCAACCGAAGATCGATACCAAGACTTTTCAAGTTTTCAAAAGACTAAGATTAAGACTTAGCTTCTTATAAGTTTTTTAAGTATTTATAATTATTTTATAAATACAATAAGGCTCATGCTTAAACATGTATGCATTAGGGATACAACTTATTTAGTTTTTTTTAAATATTACATTTCCTGTATCATAAATGAATACCTAAAATAATAAAAAAGTACCCAGCTCCACTAGATTTTAAAAACCAAGTATCGCCTTAGAATACAATTATAATATCGCTATTATTAAAACTGATACGTTTATTTTAAAACTATTTTTAGGTGCCCTAAGAAATCCTTACGGTCTTATCACAGAGCGCCATGGAAGAGTCCTTTTTAACCGATGTCGCAAAACTTGCCCAGAGGTTGGGTTTGAACCATGGATCTTTTGCTTCAAGTGCACTATCACTGCGTATCGGCTGCTTAGAAATTGTAGCCATGGTATTAGCTACAATTTAATGCAGCAGCTCGTTGAAATTTGTAGGTAGTATACTCTAAAACGTATACGTAGAACACTCTAGAAATGTGTAGATTGTTTTAGTACTACTAACCATGGCAATTTCTGTTTTTGTTGTTTTTGTTGAATTGCTTATAGATAAGGTTAAGAAATTCATATTAAGACAGAAAAATTCTTTTAATTGGGACTGACAAATTAATTAAGCAGAAATTATTTGGTGGTTATTAAACACTGTTACATGGCTTACGCACCTACTTTACTGAAATATGTAAAATATATGCACTGCATAATATACATAAATAAAATAAGTAAAATTTGACGCATTAGACAAACTCTTTGATATCATCGAAATATCGTTGTCAGCTAAAGATAAACAAATAAGTATATATCGAGTATATATATAAGTATATATATATATAAGTATATATATAGTATATATATAACGAAGTATATATCGAGAGGGCTCACAGAACAGGAAAAAAGAATGAAATTGGAATGAAAAAATGAAGAACTATTATTGCAAAATTCTTATACTATAAAGACAAAGAAAACGTTTTAAAAGAATACCGATTACTCAAATTATGGAACGAAAAAATATTCTTGAATGAAGATTTTAGCGAAAGAACAAGAGATAAACGGAAACTTCTTTTTGCAAAAGTTAAAGATATTCGAGCCACCGGTAAGTATGCTAAAGTAGTATACAATAAATTAGTTACACGCGAATTTTAAAAGAATTAATTTTTTTTATTTTTGGATTTCAAATAACTAAAATGGATTCAAACGAATCTGTTGATTTTCAATCAACTTTAATTAACTTATTTCAAACTAATGATTTTTTACTGGACTGCAATAATGACCCTGACCTAAATTATTTTAGTGGAGCTGGTGCTTTAAAAAACAAGTGCAGTTATTTGTATGTCCAAGAATAAGAAAAATTTCTTGAACCGGATAAGTTGAATGTGATTCATATAAATATAAGAAGTTTGAAAAAAAACTTTGAAAATTTTCGTTATTTAATTGATGAAACTTTTAACATTTTTAGCGTAATTTGCTTAACAGAAACTTGGTTTGATTCTGATGACGCTTATTTTATTTCTAATTTTAACTTGCCTGGATATAAATTGATTTCATTAGCGCGTAAAACCAATAAACGTGGTGGCGGCGTGATTATTTACGTAAAGGAACGCTTGAAATTGTTAACCAGGCTTGACATGAGTATCTCTGATAGCAATAAAGAGGGTTAATCAATTGAATTAATTATTAAAAAAGCTAAAAATATTATAATTAGTTGTTGTTATCGCCCACCATCTGGTGTAATTGAAAGTTTTAGTTCATATTTACATTATGATATAATTAAAAAAACCAATCATGAAAAGAAATTTAACTACTTAATAGGTGATTTAAATTTATGTTGCTTGGAATATCACGTAAAACCCAACATTAAAAATTTTTATAATGACATTTTTGAAAATGGTGTGGTTCCACTAATCACCAAACCAACCAGAATAACTCAATCAACATCTTCCCTGATTGATAATATAATAACAACTGATTTATTTAACGAATCTCTTAAAAAAGGCATAATTAAAAGTGTTTCTGATCACTTCCCTGTTTTCTTTTCCATTAATACTAAAATAGAAACGTCACCAAATATAAATCAAATTTTTGTTAAACGTATTTTTAATGAAAAGAATTTGGAAACATTTAAAGAGCAATTGTCTCTTCTTCATTGGGAGCACATTTCCAATTTAGATGATGCTAACCTGGCTTACAACAAATTTTTTAAAACTTTTTTTGATATATATGATGTTAATTTTCCAAAAATCAAAATACATTGTAAATTAAAAAGTATAAAATCCCCATGGATTACTAAAGGGTTAAGAAAATCATCCAAAATCAAACAAAAATTGTACATTAAATTCCTAAAACTAAAAACAGATAAAAGTAAAGCTATATATAAAAGTTACGCCAAACAATTCGAACGTCAAAGAAAAAATCTTAAAAAAAATATTCCAATGATTTACTTGAGAAATATAAATTAAATTCTAAGCGCAGATGGGAAGTTATAAAGGAAATCACAGGCAGTTTTAAAATGAACACACTCACATTGCCTAAAACCACCAAATCAAATGATAAATTTTTGTATGATAAAGAAGAGATAGCTAACGAGCTGAATAAATATTTTGTTTCTGTTGGACCAAATTTATCCCAAAAAATTCCTCAAGCAATTAATCCAATAAGTAATCTATTTATCCCTAATACATCGCAATTTAATTCGTTTGAACTAACTTATGAAGAGTTTGAATGCGCTTTTAAAATGCTAAAACCCAACAAATCAGCAAGTGCGGATGATATCAATGTAAATATTGTTATTAAATCATATGAAATCATTAAAGATGTACTTTTTAAGATTTTTTCTTGTTCTATTAGGCAAGGAATTTTTCCTAACCAACTAAAAATAGCAAAGGTGATTCCGATATTTAAGGGAGGTGATTTAACTAATGTTAGCAACTATCGTCCCATTTCTATTCTATCTGCATTTTCAAAAGTCCTGGAGAGAATTTTATACAACAGAATTTATAATCATTTATCTGTAAACAATTTAATATATAGCAATCAATATGGATTCAAAAAAAATAACTCGACAGAACACGCAGTTCTCCAGTTTACAAGAAGTATTACTAACTCTTTTGAAAACTCCCAATATACAGTTGGGGTTTTTATTGACTTAGCTAAAGCTTTCGATACAATAGACCACAATATTCTTTTAAATAAACTAAAGATTTACGGTATAAACGGAAGTGTTTTAAATTGGTTAAAAAGCTATTTAAATAATCGAAAGCAACTTGTATACGTTGATGTAGTTTCACCAGTAAACTTGCTTGATATAACCTGTGGAGTTCCTCAGGGATCAATATTAGGGCCTCTTCTTTTTCTTATTTACATCAACGATCTCCATAAAGCCTCAAATTTAATGACGATTATGTTTGCAGATGACACGAACTTATTTTTATCTCATAATGATATTACATTGTTATTTCAGAATATCAATAATGAACTAGTAAGAGTTTCTGATTGGTTTAAGACAAATAAACTGTCTCTTAATATTGATAAAACGAAATGGATTTTTTTCCATCCAAATCACAAAAAAAATCTTATACCAAATGAAATGTCACTGCTTTTTATTGATAATATACTTCTAAAAAAAGTAATAGTTACAAACTTTCTTGGTATTTATATTGATGAAAATTTGTCATGGAAAAGTCACATAAAAAATTTGAGTAGTAAAATATCAAAAAGCATAGGAATTTTGTACAAAGCAAGGTGTTTTTTAAATAAACATACATTACTTAAACTATATTATTCGCTCATTCATTGTCACATTAACTATGCGAACATTGCGTGAGGTAGTACTAATAAAAGTAAACTGGAACCTCTTTATCGTCAACAGAAACATGTTGCACGCCTTATTAATTTTAAGGATCGATTTACTCATGCCAAGCCTCTATTAATTGAAATGAAAGTCTTAAATATATATGAGCTTAATATTTTTAACGTTATATGTTTTATGTTTAAATGTAAAAACAATATTTCTGCTGTACCTTTTCATAATTTGTATAACAAAAAAGAAAAAACTAAGTACATTTTACGAAATGATAATAATATTCGTCAATCAGCTTATCAAACTAATTCTGGAAAATACTGTATTTCATTTCGAGGAGCATTACTTTGGAATAAAATAGTTTTAAAGAATTTTGACTTTTCTCAAGAAGTTAGCTATCACTCTTTCAAATAAAAACTTAAAAAAGTCATTTTTTTATTAGGTGATGATATATCTATATTCTTTTAATTTTTTGTTTCTTTTTTTAACTTTATATTTAACACTGCATTAATAAATTTCATAATTTAACAATTTGTAAGTAGTTGTTTAACACTTTTGTTAAAGGTATCTTAAAAATGTATAACAAACCTTTAACAAAAAGTTTAACAATTGTGCTAAAGATATTTTAAAACTGTATAACGCATCTATGTATTTATAACGGAACCGTTTTTTTTTTCTTTTTTTCTTTAAATTTGTTTATGTTTTCAATTCTTAATTCTTAATTATTTGTTATCTTCAAGTATGTTAAGTATATATTCCTATTGAAAGTTTATTTATTTTGAGAATATTTTATTAATACGAAATATTAACACGAAAATTTTTTAGCGGTTCTCGACGACAAGACCTTACGGTCTTCTACGAGTTCCCGCGTTCTTTTATTTCTTAATAACGATCATGTATATATATATACATTGTTAACGAATATTTATTAAATCACGAAGTTGTAAAATTAAAGAACAAAAAAAAAAAAAAAAAATATATATATATATATATATATATATATTATCTACAAGTAGAATGTTGAGGATAAGTTGGTTATGCTACCTGTAAAGAAGCAGGAAAGGAAACAATTTATCCTTTCAAGAGAATAAATATACTTGAATATACTTGAAAGATGAATATACTTGCCCATCAAAAGGAAAACATAACAAGAGTAAAGTTGCCGTGAATTTAGTGACAACAACAGCAGTACCAACAAAAAAACTGCCAAAATTTGCAACCAATTAGCACTCAATTGTGTTAGCATTCCAACACCCAGTCAAGCTGGAATTTATAATTAATTATTTAAGGAAGTTTCTAAACTGAAAAAAGAGATAATGAAAAACATTAAAAACCAAACAGTGGTTTCTACATTTTGATGGAAAACGTCTTAATAAAAACGAAAACCAGATTGCAGTATTTAAAAACGAAAGATTCAAAGTGAAATTAGCTGAACTGTGCTTGAAAGATAACAAGGAAGAAACTATTACTGATAGAATTTTGACAGTACTTGATGCATATAATTTATGGAGTGCTGTAAAAATGGTAGTGGCTGACACAACCAGTGTTAACATCGGTAAAAAAAAATGGTGTTATTGTAAGACTTAGGCGAATGTTTTCAGCGAAAGGATTTGACAAACCGTTGTTTATATTTTACCAGCATCACGTTCTTGATAGGATTCTACGTGTGATTATGGAGGAGGAAATGGGTAAAAGCACCAACTCCCCAAACATTGAGTATCCTATTGTACTTCAGTTGATAAACAGCTATGAGGAATTACAAGCAAAGTTTTTGAATGGAACAAATATGATTGTCGATAAGTCAGGCTGCAGAGATGACATGAAATTCATGCATTATCTGAAACTTGTGTTTAAGTTTTATAAAAAAAAAGGATATTTTCGACATGTTAACTTTCAAAAAGTTCCTAATATTAGTAATGGAATACGTTGCCATTCAGGCTTCCCTGCCATTCAGGCTTTTGTTCTCATACCTAAAACAAAAGCAATATTACAAAAAATCTGCAGATTTATTTGGTACGACTGGGAAAAGTGTTGGTTTCCTGATCAATTTTACAACAAGATAGCCTATAATAACTTGTAACAAATACTGAAACGCTACAAGTAGGGCAAACAGGTATTTGAGAAATACTGGAAACAGGAACCATCAGCACTGAAAATACCAAGAAGCAACCAGTGTGCGTAACGTGCAACAAAAGTAATGCAGGAACTACATTCAGTTTGCAGATAAAAAGACAAATTGCAGTCTAGATTTTTTTAAGTAATATAAAACGATGTACTGATGTATATTAATTATAAATATAGACAATACAAAGCATATGCTATGCTCTAGTAACTATAATAGTTAGTTACTAGACATCTAATTAGAATGTATATTGTTAAGTTACAATACGCAATTTGATATCTTGATTTATGGTGAACTTTTTTCAAAAGATATTAAAATAAATATTTATTTTTGAGTAATTATTTATCAAACTGACATACCGGAACACGAGGTTTTAAAAAAGTTTTATCCCTAGTCTGCATACTAATAGACGTTTAGCTGATGTATCATTTTACCATTTTTACTCTACTATTAAACGTAATTGCAAATGTATAACATAACTATGTTGTCGCAAATTGTTCAGTGCATTGTTGCAGTCTAAAAAAATAACTTTAATAATAGCAGGTTTTTCGTATTGTTAAAAACAAAGTTTACCAATAAGAAATGGCACAAGATTATCACACTGGGAAACTAAGAATAACACACATATAGCTGACATAAAGTTTTTATTATATCAGCCACTTTCTATTGTTACAAAAAAATATAAGTACTTTTTACATATTTTATTTAAGTAATGATATGAAAAGTAAAACAGAAGACTATGTATCACTTCGTTTCATTACTTGTAAAATACCTTAATCTTTGTAGTAACAATTTTAGTAATCCATCAGTTGCGTGATTGTTTTTTGAAAGGATCGAGTAAGTTCAAGACAGTACAGGTCCGAGATCATAATCAAGACCAATGTTCTAGGCCTTTAAGTCCAAGACCAAGACTTCAAGCTACAAGACCAAGGCCAAAACAGTTAAATACAAGCCTAGAGACGTCTTGAGACCAAGAATTAAGTTTCAACACCTACAAATCTGAATATCAATAAATAAACGAAAATGAAAAAACTTGTAAAATAAAAATGTTTTTTTACTATCACAATAAGTTAATTTAATTGAAAAGAAAATTCTTTACGTTCACAACATGTGACAATTCCAGCATGTGACAAGTGCAAATTCCAGCTTTGCTTTTCAAATGTGACAAGTACAAAACTCCAGCTTGGTTTTATTTATGTTACAAGAATTTTAACTCTTCAACTAGTTTTAGCTTTTGAAAATGCATAAAAAAAGTAAAATCACATAAATCATCATTTTCTTGATTAGCTATGAATAATTGAGCATTTTAAAACAACTTTTTTTGTATGAACGTTACTTCATAGTTTTCAAATATTAAATTATACTAAGAATAATAAGGAATTACAACTACTTAAGAAATACCTAAAGTTTCTTATCCAGATGCGTTTAAAGCTAACTAAAAACCTAAATCACAACGAATGTTGTTTAAGTTTATGACTTTTATCATCCTATTATAGAAACAAAGAGCACCGTAGAATAAAATATTTTTGAACTTTTTATTTATGCAATTTATACAAAATAGCTTTAAAAAAAACACTTCTTGGTCATTAGAGCTTAGAAAATACCTTAGTTGCTTTTGAATACAAATTTAAGGACTTTCTATTAAATATATTTTATTATGTTTTATCTTAGTTCTTAAAGTAAAGTGGTATTCAGGTTTTTGAACTTTTAAGAAAATAAGTTTAAAAAAACTATTTTTTTGCAGTAGTCGGTGTTACATTATATACAATGTAACACCTACTACTACAATTCTATAGTGTTAAAGGTCGGGGAGCCTAGTAATGACATTGGGTGGTACAACTATTTTTAGTGCAATATAATTCCTTTTTTAGATATCGTTAACAACTATTGGATATGGAGATATTGTTCCTGAAAAACCAGCAGCAAAAATATTAATTTGTTTTTTTGCATTATTTGGCGCATTATTTCTTGCACTTCCCGCCGTAAGTATTTAAGTTAAATCTGTCTTATTTACTTTCATGTGATGTGCAGACTGCATTTTGGTTGGTCTATTGATTTAAATTTGATATATAACTGATATCATGTTTGTATTCATTTTAAAAGTTGTTTTAGCAAACAGTTGGTTTTAAAAACTGCAATTACATTAAAATTTAATTATTTTTGCAAACAATAGAAATTAAGTCTGAAAATTGTTTGGCATCCTAAAAAAAAGCTGACTAGTCTATAACAACTAATTTTGCACATTGAAAAAGTTCTTCTAATTGTAATAAATATTCTAAGAAAAATTTGCAATTTTCTATTCTATTCGTAAAATCTAGTTTCAACCTTTAACAAAATATTAAAAAAAGAAGTTTAGAATTATTAAATAAATATTTTTATTGCCTTACTGAGAGGCCTTACTTAGAACTTTATAGTTTTCAAATAATGTGGGGTGGCCCTAGGTTCACAAACTTCTACAAAGAGGCCCTAGGTTTACCAACTTCTCTAATTTATAAATGGAACACATTGTTTTAGAAACTAGGTTGAAACTAGACAATACATATAGATTTATGGGGTAAGTGGGTTACCCAAAAAAAAACAAATGCATACAAGGAGGGGAGGCGGGGTTTTATTTTTTTAATTTTTGTTTGTTAGTTCGCTATTTCTTTCTTATCAATCGCGTGAAATACGCCCAAACGCTCGCTTCAAACCCTGAATCTGTTGATTCTAAAGTATGCACTCTAACCACCTCACCACGGCAGCTAAACACATAAATATATTTAAGACAGTAAGTACGCACGCAGTTTAAGTACCTTTTCGTTTAAAACGTTCGCGTAGGATTCACACTTATACCAATCTTTGCAAATTCTTTCGGGGCACTTAATCCAGTGTTTGAAACTGCTTTACATTTATAGCAGTTCGCCCTTATGCCAAAACTTGATCATTATTTTAGCGCACTAATGCCAATTTGCACTAATACTAGTTTGATCTTATGCTACTGCTTCGAACTTAAAATTCGCATTTATTCAGCATCCCGACTTCCGATTAACCTCGCAATGCGCACTTTATTATGAAAATCGAATATTTTAACATAACTTTAATCATAACATAATTTTTTCGAATATATTCATACCAGCCTTCTTGGTGTTGGAATAACTTAAATTAGTCATAAAATTTTGACATCAAGTTCGCTAGATAGGTAATTAAACAGAAACATTCTTTTTATTGCGATAAATACGTTTGTTTTTCTTGGTTAAGAAAAAAAACTTTTCTACTTTTTAAATAAAATAATTTAAAAAAAAACTTTCAAATACAGAGTGACGTCGCGCCGACTGGATGAATGCTGATTTTTACAAACATAATGAATATCAATAAGACAGATTTTTCTCGAAGTTTTTATACAATTATTGTTAATTCTAAGATATTTATTGTTAACTCTCAAATTCAATTGAATCAATTATATTTAGGGAAAAGTATAGCAATCTTTTATCATCAGTTAATGATTTATTCAATTTGAATGTGAACGTAACAGCTGGGTAAAATGCGATGTTCTTTAAGTTAGCTCGACCGTGCACGGTTTAGTGAGCTCAAATTACTTAATCCTGGTTAAGTACAAATGCCAGAACAGATTGGCTGATCATTAAGCAGATCATTTATATGGTACAAACGGCAAAGTAGATTATAAAATTATCTGAGTTCTTATTAGAGATACTTTTTTGGATTATAAAAGAAACCTGAACAACCTAATTATAACATATAATCTGCCGAATTATTTGGCAGATCACATATTAGAATACGGCATATCACTTTTTTTTATGTGATTTCCCAAATTATTTAGCAAATTATTTATAAGAATTCAGCTTATTTTATAACTCAAAAAAATGCCTCAAATAAGAATTCAGCAAATTTTATAACCTGTATGCCATTTGTGCCATATAAATTATCTGCTTAGCCAATTTTCTTTGCTCTGCCGATTGTACCTACGCCAAATCTGAGCGTACGAATTAAAGGAGTCAAACTTTAAATGCCAATATTAATACTCAATAATTGATGAATTTAATGCTAAAAGTAAATAAGTTACAAAATACCAATTTTGAGCTAATTCTTGTTTTCAAACTGACCCAGTCATATCAGGCAAAACCTGCCAATATATTTCAGATATCTTCTTCAACAAATCAGGCAAAATACGTCTATATATTTCAGATATCTTCTTCAACAAATCAGCCAAAACCTGTCAATATATTTCAAATATCTTCTTCAACGAACTTGTTTATTTCCTAGCGTTAAGCCTTTAAAAAAATGTGGATAATTTAGTTTTGGTACTTTTTACCCTATTTTAAGACTTAGGTCCTTTTTGCACCAAAAACAAGGTCTGCACTTAAGCAACCTTTTAATAAAGTTATGTTATTTATAAATATATATTTTATTATATAATGAAATCACAAAAAAAACTTAGTAGTTAACACACATACATACATATATATATATATATATATATATATATATATATATATATATATATATATATATATATATATATATATATATATATATATATATATATATATATATATATATATATATATATATATATATATATATATATATATATATATATATGTATATATATATATATATATATATATATATATATATATATATATATATGTATATATATATATATATATATATATATATATATATATATATATATATATATATATATATATATATATATATATATGTATATATATATATATATATATATATATATATATATATATATATATATATATATGTATATATATATATATATATATATATTTGTATATATATATATATATATGTATATATATATATATATATATATATATATATATTTATATATATACATATATATATATATATATATATATATATATATATATATATATATATATATATATATATATATATATATATATATATATATATATATATATATATATATGTATATATATATTCAAACTATTATAAAACTTTACAATTGTTACATCTTTTCAGTTGGACCTACACTTTCATACAAGTTTTTAATAATCTTATGTGCCTTCCATTTAACTGAAATGCCAAGGATGCACAAAATAAAGCCCAAAAGTTAATTATTATTACAATATTATTATTAAAAGAAAATGTTTTTTGAGCTTTAGTTATGCGACGAGTATATCTTGAGAATCTTTGAAACACACTGTTTAAACTCAAAACAAAAGTGTTCAAATTCAAAATTCCATTCACCTTCTTTCTGTTCTTTTTAAGTGTGGAAACTTAAGGATTCTGGCATGATAATATTTTCTATTAAGGGAATAATTGGATCAGGTTTTGCTCTACAAGTATCAGAACAGCAAAAAGAAAAACATGTGAGTAGAAGACGAAGGCCAGCTGCCGAGTTATTGCAGGTTTTTTAGATTTATTTAATTTTATCTTATTTTAAATACATTAAAAAAAATATCACATTACTAAAAATAATGTGATATTTTTTTGTGAAAGCTTTTAGTTACTTTTAAATAAAATAATAAAGATGAATTAAATAGTTAAATAGTTGGTCATAATAGTTATAATTTAAGATTAAATTAATTGATCAATAACCGCAATGAATACGGATGAATAAAAAGGTCTAAAATATTCACATTTTGTAAAGTAATTTTTTGTGATGGTTAAGTTGCCAATGTTATTAGTTATTCCGAATCTGAGGTGCAAATAACAAATAATGAAGAAAATAATAAAGTCAATTTAATCAACACTGTGAATAAAGTGATTTTGGTCAACAATCTGTGAATCAAGTGATTTTGGTTAACAATCTGTAATTTGACAACAATTGGTGAGCAACAATTGTATAAAAAAACTTTGAATATGAATTAAAGTGGGGATGAATTGGTTAGGTTAAATGTGATAAATATGATTATTTTTTTCATTTACCTTTATTTTAGTTCCATACATTTTTTAATCTGATAAATATTTTCTCATAACAACGCTCCAGTTTACTTTATTTTCTATTTTTAAGTTTTGCTTTTGATGGTAATAACTAATTATCATGCTAAGTCTAATTAATTATTTTTGAAGGACAAATTATCCAGAATGGTTGTTATACTTGTTCTTATCAGTTCAGCGTAGTTGTGTTTGTTGTTTTTTGATGATAAACAATATAGCATCATATATACATATATATATATTTTTTTGATGATAAACAATATAGCATCATATATATATATATATATATATATATATATATATATATATATATATATATATATATATATATATATATATATATATATATATATATATATATATATATACATATATATATATATATATATATATATATATATATATATATATATATATATATATATATATATATATATATATATATATATAGAGAGAGAGAGAGAGAGAGAGAGAGAGAGAGAGAGAGAGAGAGAGAGAGAGAGAGTTGATGATAAGTACAAAAAGTTAAACAAAAATATGAAATTTTAGTGTATTAGCATATTCTAAACACATTTCCAAGTAGCAAAACATAATTTTTTTGTTTGTTTTAGATTTCAAATACCTGTAAATGTTTTCTGTGCTTTTTTTTTTTTTTTTTTAAATAAACTCTTATATGACACTGCCTTTACTGAATCAATCAGATCTGCTAATAATATAAATGAAAATGTTATAAATACTTTTCTTTATTTCTTTTAAACTTAATTTAGTCTTACTGGCGAAAGTATGCTGCCGATAATGATATTGAATGTACTTGGCAACCATACCTACAAGGAATGGAGAAGAACTATGAGATTATGAAAAAAAAATATGAAGAGAAATTTTCAGCTTTCAAGGAAGAAAAGTTTTCACTGCTTGATGGTACTTTTTGTATCTTATCTTTAATCTTTTACAAATTGTATATTAATAAGCTAACAAAAAAAAAAAAAAAAATTTATCTGATTCATAGCAAAAAAGGCTGCAAGCCCTATTGAAAATACAGAAAATATAGTTAAAAAGTAAGGAAACGGTTAGCAGAAGATATAAAAATTGTAGCTTTTATGAGTTAGGAAAATATAAAGAGGGTGGAGAATTCCTAAAGGTTTGAAGAGCGTGGAAAAAAACAAGACGAATAAAAGTTTTAAAGGCATGCATGAACAAATTGAGATACAATAAAACTTTGCTGAATGATAATTCAAGAAAGAATCAGCTTTGTTCAGTAAAACTAGAGATGATAGCTTCTTTGAGCAGTGACCATGATGGTATGTGTAGAAAAGAGAAAGAAATGCTACTTTACAACGAAGTAAGAAAGGCCTAATCTTGGCAGATAGAGCAGGTTCAACTACGTCTAAAAAAGAAAGAGCATAATTAGAAGAACCAGCATGACATGACATGACAGCCCAACATGACAACATGACATGACAGCCCAACATGACAACATGACATGACAGCCCAACATGACAACATATTCTATACAGGGCAAGTAACAGATTTATAGAGATAGAGAATGAAACTAGAAGAAAGATAATGGCAAACACGATAAAAAAAAGAAACCTTACCAGATGCTAATTTACCAATCAATTTTATATATGGTTTCCTTGAGAGGTTAGTAGTAAATAATTTACCCAAGAAAATGCGTAAATAAGAGGACTCAGAGAGAGGATCGCTATTCATCAATTCAGGATTATTGAAAGTATTAAGATAGTTATTTGCAGTAACTGCGTTTTGTTGAAAATTCACAAACGACTGTAAGCCCCAATCTGTTACAGAAGTGAGATCAGATCTAAGATTGCTTGTGTTAAGTGATTGAAAAGAGAAGACTTTTTGCCAAGACAGGAGTATAAAATTGAGTTGTCAGCTAATAGGGCCACTTAAGATGCGAGATTGTCAAGAAGATGATAAATAAAGTTAACAAACAAAACACGACCAAGGATTGAACCTTTAGGTACCCGAGAAGTTACTCAAAATGAAGAAGAGTTGTTGATTAAAGATTCAAAGATCAGTAGCAGATAGAAAAATTATTGGACGATAGTTCGGGGGTTCAGAATTTTCTCCAGAGTTTTTAAGTATTAGACATATACCATATACCACATATACCATTTTTCACCAGACTGAAAAACAAGATCCAGTTAAGCACTTATTTTATAGTTTAGATTGAATTAAATAGAGTTCTGGAAAACAGTTTTCCAAGACTCTAACAGGAACGTTGTCTGTACCACAAGCTGTAGAAGAGTTTAACTAAGATATAACTTTTGCAGCAGAAGCTGGAGTAATTTGTAGGTCTAGCAATCGGTTAAACTGTTTAACTGGAATGGAAGGAAGAGTATGGTTATAATATTTAAAAGTCAAAGTAGAAGAATGGTTCTTTGCAAATAGTTTAGCCTTATGCTTGGGAGAGTAGTAAGATTGTCCCATGACTGAGAAAAGAAATGTCCCATGACTGAGAAAAGACCTACCTTTGTTAATGACGCTGTTGAAAATTTTCCAAATGTTTCTAGAGCCTTCTTATGTGATACGAGATTTAGTAAACTGGAAATAATTAAGCTTAGCATGAGGCAGCATCTTTTACATTGATTTCTTGCAATGATAAATAGACCTTTGTTCTAAAGAAAATTGTTCTTTCGAAAAAGCTGGAAAAATGGTTACTCTTGGATATAGCAGCTGAACAAGAATGTGAAAACTAAGGAATAGAATGAGGCTTGACTCGGAACCAACTATAAGGAATAAAAGCTTCCACCCATACCTAGATCCAGAAGGTTACGTAGGAAGCACATTTATCAGCAGAGAGAATAAAGACATCAGCCCAAGGACTGATACAAAGAAAATTACGAAAAGAATCCCACTCAGATTTAGGGTAGTAGTAAGTAGTGCGCTGATTTGGTGAGTTTGAAGAAGAAATTCTTATAAAGATCTTGGATATTCAGAACCACCTAAAAGAGAAAAAGGAGAAACTGAACGCAAGTTAGCGGCAGAGACAAGACACAAATCATGGAGTGAAGGTAAATAATTAGGGTCGTCTGGAAAACAAATCACAAAGTTAATTATCTGAGTAAGAGATTGAGAAATACAGAAGTTATGGGTTTTTAGTGCCAGCAGGGTTAATGGTAATAGAGCCGAGCCAATTTTGCAAGAGATAAGATTCAACCAATGGAATTTTACTTCAAAGAACATTTGCGAAAGATATATGAAGCAGTAAGGGGTGGAGATGGTTTTTTATGTTCAAGTTTTTGGGCATTATTTAAGTCTAAAGAGAACTTGACTCATTCGTAGATAGAGCACGGCATTGCACTGTTTTATAGTTGAAGTTACAAGTTGGTTATTAAGCTCAACTGCATCAGAGATTTAAATACAACACAAACTTACATAATGTAACTACGGGTGAGTGAACACCGTGCCAAAGGTTCAGACGGAACACAAACATAAATATAGTAACTTACGGGTGAACCAACACCGCGCCAGAGGTTCAGGCAGAACACAAACATACATGATGTAACTTACTGGTGAATGAACACCGCGCCAATATTTCAGACCATAAACCATTAAAAACTATACATGCATAGTTATATAATAGTAAAGCCAAATAAAGTTTGCGCAGTGACGTCAGATTGTGGCAACAAAAAAAAAATTTACGTCGTTTGCTCTTGCATTCATCTTACATTTTTTTATAATTTTTGATATGGTGCATACAGTTCCTCAATAAGATATAACACTGATACAGATATATCATTTCACGAACATGAGCTTGTATTTATTACAATGTATTGTATTTATTACAATTAAAATTACTACTTGTTTATTATAATGGTAATAAACAAATAGTTTTAAAAAAATAACATAGTAATTACTATTTGGGTTATTCTTTATTAGAATATATCATTTACTAATATATTCTAGATATTTTCAATAAAGAGTTGTTTTTTTTAAATTTAAATAAAATTTTGTTTAAAAAAAATCGGCTTTTACGAAGGTGAACACAGTAAAAATCTTTATTTTTATAGCTTCGGCACTCGTATTCTCCTGTATTTTTTAAATCAAAATAAGTCTATTATTGAATGAAAAATTTTGATACCGAATTTAATATCTGAGGCCAACTAGAAAAAAAGGTATGTGATTTTAAAGGTGGAAAAAATATAATGGACATCTTAACAAAGATAGGCAGAAAAATAACTTCAAAAAGTAGACTTTAAAACAAAGCGTATAAAATATTCACAATGTATAGTCACATATATAATAAAATGAAAATAAAATTAAAAAATGTTTGTTATATCCCACTAAATTGTTAAACAAAACTAAAAAAAAAAAAAAGAAAGAAAAAAATCAGGAGGTTGTTTAAATTCATTTTAAAATCAGATAAAATTCGAATCAAGTCATTTTATTTAAAAATTGTTTGTCTAAACTTAAGTTTATTCATTCTTAAATCAAATGAGAATGTGAAATAAATTTACATTTAAAAATTGCAGTGATTGGAGCTTGGGAACAAAAATATCCCAAAAAGATTGTACCCCTACCTGAAGATAAGAAGGGATTGAATTATTAAAATTAACTTACTATCCAATACTAAATTTGAGTCCATCAACAGACCCAATAATTATTTTTTTTTAAAGTTATGAACAAGTAAAGTTTCCATTCACCCGTTAATGAGGGATTGTAAATTTCACATGGTCTTGACGCTTGAGCAATAAAAGATGCTTAGATTAAATTTAAAATCTGAGTTGAGTTTAAATTTTGTGAGTTTAAATTTAGTGTAATATGGTAAATTCAAAAATTTTTATCAACTCATTAAATTAACATTTAAGACTTTTAAGGGTTCTAAATTCTTTGGGTATTTTTTATAAGTTCCAATTGTACAACTTTTTAGCAAATCATTCTCATTTGAGATTTAAATGAACATACTCATTTTAAGTTTTTCCTATGCTTTGTAATTTACCTGAAATGTGAAATAATCCTGTATCTTCTCTTTGGTAATATAAAAAATTTAAAAAAATAAAAAAAATAATAAAAGAAATAATAAACCCACTCTTACTCTTACTAGTTACATTTTAATAAACCAGACCAGATCCATGACCCAGAAATTATTTTTCTATGAGGCCTAATCCTTGCAATCGCTCAAGCGATTGCAAGGATTAGGCCTCATAGAAAAATATATCATTATTTATGTCATGAAGTAAGAGTTTGCAAATTTCATTTTTGATGTTAATGGAATAACGAAAAAGTTGTAAAACAAACTGTAATGGAATTCTATTAAATTTAATACTCTTTTGAAAAAAATTTCCTTTGAAGAAAGATTTTAATAATTCTTTCATATGTGACAACAATCCCTGTCATATAGAACAAGACATAAAATCTGCTACCAACCACTGCTATCTGAATATAAGCTTTGGATAGCTGCTATCAAAGGAATAGATAGCTTCTATCTAAAGAATAGCCCTGAAGCGACATTGTTTTTTTAAGATAGCTTTCTAATGCTGCACGATCTCCTTTAAAACTGATTTTTAAAGAGTAAAAATAATTATTATTTCAAATTTTCATAAAATTTTTGATTTTTGAGTGAATATGTCTAAAACTTCTACTACTGGCATTTTATTAAACTCTGCAAATGTATTGGCAATATCTTTTAATACACTTACAATGTGAGTAGAACAGTCAAATCCTGTACAGCCAGCAATTTTAAATAAGAAGGTTGGTAATAAATAAGATCTCTGTGGAGAATAGATCCTGATATAAAACTCGTTTACATGTTTGTCTAAAATGGTAAAACACCTGGATCAAATGTCATTTTATTCACTGAGTAGGGTGTTTTTTGCAGTTCTGTGTTGTGTAACGTTTCAGAAATTTTTTCTCAACAAAAAAGAGGCACTTTCCACACGCACATTGTAGCATCATAAAGATATTTTCTTATACGTTGGTCGTTTGTTTTTAATTTTTTGGCTTCTTCAATTAGCTTATTATCTTCTTTTTTAAAAAAAAACAATACTAGTAAAATAATGATTTTGTTCTACAAGTTGTTTATTTTCTTGCCTTTCCTTTTTTTTTTTTGTTCCTGTAATTTTTTTAAAGTAATTTTGTGTTTCTTTTCTATCTTTTTAACATTTTCTTGCAACTTTGATCTACTAATTTTAAGAACTTTAAATTCATTTATGCAATCTGGAGAATGAAACTTGTTCTGCTAAGTTGTTTTTTTTTTTTTTTGAATATTTGAGTTTCCACAAAGTGTTTTTTAGGTTTTTGTTGGTAAGCTTGTTTTGGGTCGTTCAACTTCTCAATGAACAAACTCTCTGCTCCAAATTTATGTTTTTTTCTTGTAAACTGCTTATTGCACCTTTTTTTATTTGACTTGAATCGCATTTTATTCTCTGCATTGTGTCTGAAGCAATCTTTAAATTAGGAGATGTAAGATTAGATATTTTTCTAGAACATGGCGGAAACTTAAGTTTATGTGATGGACTTTTATTTGCTGGTAAGTCTATTAAAATTTTTCTTGATTGACAAGTAACTTCAGGGAATTCTGTATTTAGATTGCTAGAGATATTCAAGTGATTATTTAAATTGAAAGTTTTATTTCTTTTTCATATTTAAATGACTGCTGCAAAAATTTAATAAAAGCAGCCTTCTTTTTAAAGTTTTTAATCTTATTATGCAAGTATCTTTTATTGTTGGCAAATATCTTTAAAGTAGATGCATTTTTAGGTTCAATGTTTAGTTTTTTTGTATTAGACAGGTTTTTGATAATCTGAATTTATTTTCAGGAAAACTTTTCTAATTGTTACCGTTTAACGCAGGCTTGGATTGCCATTTATATAAGTTAACTAAAACGCAAATATCTTTTGCAGACTTGTGAACCTTCTTCTTGCAGTCTTGTGATCCTTTAAAAGTTAAGAAAAAGAAGTAGCAATAATGATAATAAAGACAAAATGGCTATAAAAATAAGTCTTTGTTAGTAGCAACTGTATATAACTTTCTTAAATATTAGGATTTTAAAGTATCGATTATTATAAATCAAATGAAAGATCTATAAATAGTCAAGTTCATTTATAAACATTTATGTTGATTTATTAAATTTTTTATATTAAAGTTACCTATTTGGGCAGGATTTAACAGTGAAAATCTCACAATTTTTTTAAAATATTAGCATTATAAACAAGTTTAGCCTTCACTTTAAACGAAAAAATGTAACCAAATTTAAGAGCTTATTTTTTTGTTAGCTTTTAAAAACTCTTTCCCTCACACATATAGGGTAATTTGAAAAAACAGAGAAAACCAGAAACTTTTTAAAACCTATGGCAAAATAAAAAAATGAAACATAAAACGAACGCTTATGAGAGTATATATATATATATAGTAAATTACAGGTGATTGTAACTAAGACACCGGTTATAAATTTTTTTTTTTTTTTAAAAAAGATAATTTTTATTTACTCGACAATTATTTACTATTTACTAGTGGAGAAAACATGTAATAGCAGAGCATTTGAGACGAGTTCTCCTCGTACCAAAGTACTACTCATACGCTGAGTAGGCGGAGCCGGGATATAATCCTACAATTCTGCTGCTTTAACCAACTAAGCAACTTAAAGCGGCACTCTAAGTTGCTTAGTTATATATATATATATATATATATATATATATATATATATATATAATATATATATATATATATATATATATATATATATATATATATATATATATATATATATATATATATGTATATATATATATATATATATATATATATATATATATATATATATATATATATATATATATATATATATATATATATATATATATATAATATATATATATATATATATATATATATATATATATATATATATATATATATATATATATATATATATATATATATATATATATGTATATATGTATATATTATATGTATATATATACATACTTTAGTCTTTGATATTAATGATTTTTATCCATCGATTGATGAAACCTGCTGAAAAATGCGTTATCCTTTGCAGAGCAACATCTAATAATAAATAGTGAGCAAAAGAGTTTTATATACCATGCAAGAAAATCGTTATTATTTAGCAATGGAACTGCTTGGATTAAAAAAAAAGGGAGGATTATTTGATGTCACTATGGGGGCCTTTGATGGCGCGGAGATTTGCGAATTAGTTGGTATTTTTATTTTACATCAAATCTCGCAGTTTTATGATAAAAATAATTTCGGTATATATCGAGATGACGGATTAGCTATATTTAGAAACAAAAGTGGTCAAGAAATGGAAAAGATAAAAAAACATTTTGTACAAATCTTTAAAAATAACAATCTTTTAATATCCATTAAAAGTAATTTAAAAATAGTTAATTATTTGGATTTAACGCTAAACCTTAAAGATGGTTCATTTAAACCCTACCGCAAAGCAGATAATATACTTAATTACATACATACAAGTTCTAACCACCCACCGAGTATAATAGAAAGTGTTCCTAAACCATTGAGTTAAGATTATCAGCAGCATCGTCAAGTGAATCGATTTTTAAAGAAAGTATTCCTCCTTACCAAGAAGCCCTGAAAAAATCTGGACACACTTGCGAACTTGCATACTATCCAAGTATAAAATCTTCAAACAACAACCATAAACGTAAAATAATTTGGTATAATCCTCCTTTCAGTACAAATGCTGTAACAAAAATAGGTAAATGTTTTTTAAACCTCATCGACCACCACTTTCCAGTTAACCACAGACTCCGTAAAATATTTAATAGAAACACAATCAAAATAAGTTATTCCTGTATGCCAAACATAAAATCCATTATCAACTCTCACAATAAAAACACGTTACATGAGGAAGCAAGAGTTAATGAAAAGACATGCAACTGCATTAATAAATCCAAATGTCCGATGAACAACAATTGTCTTTCTAACAACATTGTTTATCAAGCCACCGTTTGTTCAAACAATCCGGAGTACAAAGAAAAAGTGTATTTTGGACTCAGCGAGACATCTTTTAAAGTTCGATACGCAAACCACCTCAAATCTTTTAATTCAATTAGATATAAAAATGATACAGAGTTATCTAAAGAAATATGGAAATTAAAAGAAAAAAACTTTACACCTTTTGTCAGATGGAAAATTGTTAAACGTTGCAAACCATACAACCCGACATCAAGAGTGTGCAACCTCTGTTTGAACGAGAAGTTTCAAATTCTAATGTATAAAGGTAAAAACCTACTTAATACAAGGAGTGAAATGATCTCGAAGTGTAGGCACAAAAATAAATTTCTTATTTCCTCCTATGATACCGCAGATTGATCCTGATTGGTTTACGTCACTTTTACGCCACGTGATACTCTTAAAACTTAAAGTTTTGTTTCCGTGGAGTCATTAGAACTCACGCCACCGTAATTTTAATTGTAATTTTAACGTCTATTTTAAATTTTGTAATATATGGCTGATGATTGCCGTTAGGCATGAAACTTAAAGTTCCATAATAAAAGTTTTTTTCTTTTTTCGTTTTTAATTACAAACCGCTCTGTTATGAAATTTATATATAATCAAAATAAATTTCTTAAATATTGAGCACTTTTCAACGAACAAGAGTTGTGTATTATTTTAATACAACACTACATAAAACGATATATATATATATATATATATATATATATATAAATATATATATATATAATATATATATATATATATATATATATATATATATATATATATATATATATATATATATATAGTATATATATATATATATATATATATATATATATATATATATATATATATATATATATATATATATATATATATATATATATATATATATATGTATATATATATATATATATATATATATATATATATATATATATATATATATATATATATATATATATGTATATATATATATATACATATATATATATATGTATATAATATATATAGTATATATATATATTATATATATATATATATATATATATATATATATACATATATATATATATATATATATATATATATATATATATATATATATATATATATATATATATATATAATATATATATATATATATATATATATATATAATATATATATGTATATATATATATATATATATATATATATATATATATATATATATATATATATATATATATATATATATATGTATGTATATAACATATATATATATACTATTAATAAAGTTTACTAAACTAATAATGCTAAAATAAATGTCTAACTAATACTATATATGTTAATTTTGTAGTTTTTTATATAGTTGGAGGTGTTTTAGTTACTGTGTAACATAACAATGTTATGATCATTAATATTACAAATTTTTTTCAAAATGTAAAACCTTGATCTAAAATAAGTAATTTTGTTATAAAAGAATGCAATTTTTGATGTTGCTTTTTTTTATTTTGTTTTAAAAAATTTTTATAAGGATTTTCAAGGTTTTTGACAAATCATGAGTTTTCTCCATTCCTTATCTTTAACAATATGTTTGCTCTATATATTGAATTTAAAAACATTTAAGTATATCAATATGTATTGCTTGCTATAAACAAGCAATATTCCTAGCATAGCAGCAATTTTTTGAAAATCTAAAGTTCAACTCTTATTAACAATTTAAGGTTTTTTTAGTTCGTTTATGCTTTTTTACCAAAAAACAGAAGGATTTTCTTCTTTAAATAAAAATGATAAATAACGTTTAGTGCGTAAGTTTTTATTGATTTTGTGAAACTTTTTGAAAGTTGATGAAACTTACATATTTTTCTAGATCATGTGGAAAAGATACACACATTTTGGTTCCCAAGAAAATCGTAAGGTTTTAAAATAGTTAATTTTAGAGTGGGTACAAAAAAAAAGGGTATCAAACTAAAATTAAACAGTTGGAAAGCTAAAATATTTATTTATATTTTTTAAATCAAATGAAAATTTTTTTAAATTAATTTTCCTTAAGCAAATTTTCCTTAATCTTCATATGATATATTTTATAATAATTTATCTACATTAAGAGGAAATTTCTGAGAAAAAAAAAGCAAAAGTGGCTCAAAAATGATACTCTTCAATCACGCTCAGTTTTTTTACAGTAATGCTAATAAGGTAAGAAAGAAGCGTGTAACTTTTTTTTTTAGTATTTATAGTTCCTTAGTTATGATTGGTCATTTTTGGAATTTTTGGATATTTAAACTATATTTAAAGGCAATAAGACAACTGCATTCTAAGTTTATTTTTATATAAGGAAAGAATAGGTAAACTTTTTTAAAATAAAATAAAGAAAATAAGGAAAACTCTTCCTTAGTCTAAAAATCATCACCCCTTATTTTGAGTTTGAGGCCAACTTTAAATAAAATATATCTCAAAACATGAAAGGTTCCCGCAAGGTATTTTATTATTTTTGGAAAGGGCAACTGCAATTTTAATGGTATAAAAAAATTGAGGAAATATTGCCTTATAAAAAACTTATAAGTCATTAAACTGTCAAAAAATGTTTTAACTAACGTTTAAAAATTCAGCCATTAGAGAAATAAGAAAGGTCCCAAGATTGAATGTATAGATTTTCTATTATTTCATAATTCCTTTCATCTAATGCAAAAAAAAATTGGGGGTAGTTTTGCATTATTGAAATATTTCCATTTCCAAAAGTTAAACTTTTTGTATATTAAAAAAAAAAACACCAGAATTACTCAATACATTATTTTTCTTTATCTAAACATGTGATTGTTTGAGTCAGTGACGTAGATAAGATTTTTTGATGCTTTAGAAACATTAAAGCATTATACAAACTCTAAACATAAGTATGTTCATGTTTTATCAAATGAGAAAGTTTTTCAAAATATTGTCGTAATTAGATTAGTTTTTCGCCATTCAAAAATGTTTACAATGTACAAAAATATAAAAAGGCGTATGAATGACTGTAGCAAGAAGAAGGCATAAATTAGTCTTATCACCGAACCCCATTATAAACGCTTCTTGAAGTCTGGGGAAAAATATACCAAAACAAACAACCCAGCAACCCGAAATGTGAAGTCAATTAGTTAATAAAGTTATTTTTTACTATTTTATACTAAATTTAGTTTCATTAACGGGTTTTAAGTTTCTTCTAATAATCTTTTAATGTTTGAATGTTTTAACCATGTAACCTTTCCGTCCTTTCCATATTGAGGGTTATTAAATTTTACATAGTCATAACTTTCGAACACATAATGGTTATGAAATAAAATTTTAAGCTTGTCGATAAACTTAAATTTAGTATAAGATAGTGAAAAAATTTTTAATTATTTATTTTCTTCACTTTTAGGGTATGAGGGGAGGGGGGTGATCTTTTAAGGGTAATTTGTTTTCCAGGCTTCAATTGCCGCAATTTTTTGCAAAACATTCTTATATGACCAATGCATGAACATTCTTAATTTTAGAGTTTGCACAAGGCTTGAAAGTGTCCTTTCGAAAGCATCAAAAAGTTCTATCTACCTCATTGGTTTCAGTCATAAATCGGTTTTCATATTCTTATGTGTCTTTTATTGTAATGTATTTTTGCCTGTGATTCATTTTAGGTTTATCTACAAACTTATAATCTCCGTGCTGTTTTAAAGAAAATGATAGTAGAATTTTATAAAAAATTTTACTGACTTTGTACTTTATAACATCAGGAGAAACTAACCATTTAAATTAGTTCTTGGCTCCAAAACTATTCTTTATACAACTCACAATGTAGCCATCTGACAAAAATAAAATTTATTTATGTTTTAGTAACGCAATCAAAATGATAGATTAATGTTCGAAAGATACTTATTTTTAAAGTGAATAAAAATGAAGAATCTCATTTATAATCCCAGGGTAATAAAACTTTTTTGCTATGGTCTTTCATTCAAACCTAGATTTTTCATCAAGACTATTAATAACAAAAAAATGGATATTTTCTTTAGACAATTACCCATTAAATATTTTTATAATCAATGATATCTTCTTCAGCAATTTCGATATCATAAAATGTATCCACATCAGCTAAGTTATCTGATGCTAATCTTTTTAGTTCAAATAAGGAATTGCCTAAATTTTTACAATCATAACAAATAGTACTATTAAAATTTGTAGCAGTTGTTTGTCTGAAAAATCACTCAAATCAATATTATATCCATTGCTGCATTCAAAAATATTATTTTCTATTTTTGAACTTCAAAGGAAAATCTTGCAACATAGAGAAACCATTTATATATATACAGTATTAATATCATAGAACCCTGATAAAAACTTTCGTTAAGATGTTTTAATCGCATATATCAATTGGTATTTGCCACAAATTGCTACCTAATAATAGAGTAATTCTTGCTTCTGCAATATAAAATGCAATTGTATTTCCGCATTTCCGCAGTCAAAGCTGGACGAGATATTTTCATCATTACACCATTTAAAAAACTGCACAATATATTTTTACCATATACCATTTGAGTCAAAAAATAAAAGATATTTCTACTTTATTCTGATCTAGTCTGTTTTGGCTAATTTCTTTTTCAGCAAAAGTTGTTTCACCTATTTAAGTGCTTGTCATTATTCGTATCTGGTATATCTTTTATTTGGAGCATCCAAAATCTTTCATAATCATGTTCAATCGAACACTGATTAATATGTTTACTAGTAGAGTCATTTTGTATATTTCAACAAATTTTTAGACAACAAAGTTTTAGATCTTGAGGTACTGCATGTGACAGTGCTTGTTTAGTTTGAACACACCCGAGCTTAATCCAACTTCGGGATTAAAATAGGGAACTCAGTTCTGAACAATTCAAAAGTAATTAACTTAATTCTTAATAAACCAAACTGAATAACTTTAAATAAAAAAGCAATGCTTAAAAAAATTAAAATTGTTAAATAAACATCAGGATAAAAGTGTTTACGTGTCTACAATTATATAAATTTAAAAAAAAATGCGATATTACGCTCAAGTTTTTTTTTTGCATTAAAAGTAAAAAATATTTTTTGCATTAAAAGTATGGTATCATGAAGTAATAGAAAATTTATACATTGATAGGGAAAAGTCTTGGGACCGTTCCCAATTCTCTGTTATTCCTGTTAAACCTGTTATTCCACCTCTCTTTTATGGTTCAGATTTTGTCACCTCACCTAAAGACAAAGCTGGATTGTTTGCTAAGAACTTTTCATCAGTATCGTTTCTTGATTCCATTTGTTGTGTTCTACCTGATATAGCCGACAAAAAAGTTGATCTATTGCTTGACATTCGTATCACTTCAGCTTTTATAAGTATAGTGGTTTTTTTAATTATTTATTTTGGAAGTTTACCTATTCTTTTCTAACATAAAAACAAACTTACGATGCAGTTGTCTTGAATAACAACTTAAATTAAGTTTAAAAATCCCAAAATTCTTAAAATGACTTTCCAAGTGTTAAAAAGTCAAAGGTTTGACTTATCATAACTCAGAAACTATAATTGTTTAGAAAGAAAAAAAATTACGTGCTTATTTCTTACAATATAAGCACTGTTACATTAAAAAATTGGTTTTCTCAGATAATGGCTCTTAATTTTTATATAATTTATTTAACTCTATTTATAGCTTTTTTGTTATTTTATCTTAAAATAATGTTTTAAGGCACACAACAAGATCTATACCCAACAACACCCTTATTTAAATTTCAACTATTGGTCATATAACTTTTTTTTTAACAATTATTATTATTTATTTTTTTGTATATTTTTTAATTTTTATAGACAATAAATTTATCAATAAAATTAGTTTATCAATTTGTTTCTGCAACAATGTCATTTAATCAATGCTATATTAACAATATAATAATAAATTATATCGTTCATATAAATTATTATTATATAGACGAGTCTTGTTAGTGTTTCAAAGTTTGCTGTAATATTTGCTGTAAATTATTTGATTCTCAGCCAAATTCAAACACTATATTAAAAAATATAAATAACCTTGAAAAAATTTTCAGATAAAAAAAACAAACTTTAAAACAAAACCATTATAGTTTTCATTAAGCTTACAACAAAAAAAAAAAAAACTCAAATATCTAACAATACTTTTATTTCATTTCAGAATTTTTGGTTCTATGTTATGAAGGTCAACAAGATTACTAATATTATAGAAAAATACTCTTTATGCTTCTTATATATATATATATATATATATATATATATATATATATATATATATATATATATATATATATATATATATATATATATATATATATATATATATATATATATATATATATATTATATATATATATATATATATATATATATATATATATAAATAATTATCTGAACTTGTTGTTTTGTAAACGAAGTTTTGAAATTGATTGTTAAAAAAGTTTTTAAATCAATAGTTTTAGAAAAATTGTTGTTTTACAACGAGTAACTTTTAATAATTGACTTATACTTTTTTAAATTCATTTGATTTACCATGGCATTAGGAATCATCAGCTATCTGATTAAAAAGTATAATATGTTTGGATATGTGCAAAATCACCCAAGATCTGAGCTAAGCGTAAAACAACATCAAGAATAGATCGACAAGTTGTCAAGATGGTGCAAAAAAACCGCTTTTTGTTAGTACTATAAGTGTCAAGCCTCCTTGAGAAAGATTTAGGGTTACAAGTGAGCTCATTCACTTTTCGAAATTGATTGAAAGAGAGTAGATTTAAAGCAAGAGTTCCACTCAAGAAACCATTCCTTTCAAAAGTCCATCAACAACGAAGACTTGCATTTGCTAAAAAATATGTAAATATGCCGGTATCATTCTGGAGGAATGTTTTGTTGACGGACGAGTCAAAATTAAATCTTGTAAAGTCCGATGGAGCTCAAAAAGTATGGAGGAAAAAGGTGAAGCATTCACACTCAGTTGTATTCGAGGCACAGTAAAATTTAGTGGAGGCAATGTTATGGTATGGGGATCGATGGCTTGGAACGAAACAGGAAAACTGGAGTTTATTGATGGAATTATGGGCTTTGAAGTTTATGTTAACATTCTCAATAAAAATCTTCTGGCTTCAATTAAAAAACTGCGACTAGGAAAACATTTCATAAAAAAACATGCCATAAAATAAACACAATAATTTTTTATGAAACCAGGTTAAAACCTTGTTACTGGTTCCATTTTTAAAATGATGATATCATCGTAATCATTTTAAATCTACATTGAAAATTTCTTGCAATCCTGTTCGGCAAATTACAAACTATTTCACAAAATCTATTTCTTTTTTAAATCAAAATAATGTTTTTAAAAATATAAATATAAGTTGTTTTTTTTAAAAAGAAAAAACAATGTTTTAGGGAGTCCTTTCTAGATCCTGTATAAAATGCATCACTCATTGAACAAATGTTTTACGAACAGATATATAACAACTACATCTTAAAATAACTATACAAACAAACAAACAAAAATTAGTTTTGTTCAGCTTTACAAATTTTACATTTAACAATTACACTTTAAAATCTTTTGTATATTTTAGATTAACTGTTGCTGAAAAAAATGCCATTCGTTTTATCAGGTATCTTAAATGGGTAACTGCATCTCGAAAGTTTAAGGTATAATTGAAATTGTTTTAAAATTAAATTGATTAAAAAGTGTATATAATAAACACACCTTGGCAGACAAAATTAAGTTGTACCAATTTTTTTAAATAAAAAAAAACTTTTTTAAAGTTTTTTTTTATTTAAAAAATATTAGTGCAACTTAAAGTTTGTGTTCTTAAGTTAAAGGGTTGAGACAGGGTTGTTATAACATCCACAGTAATAACAGTGATAACAGTATATACACAGTGCTTTCAGTTTTAACAGTATATACACTGTTCTTTCAGTGATATTAGCATATACACAATGCTGTCAGTGATAATTTTATATAAACAGTGCTTTCAGCAGCAAATCGACAATCCGATTGTTACCTTGCAGCCTCAAAACAACAAGTAATTATTAAACTTTTCAGATTTAATCCTTTTAACAAGAGCTTCACTTGTTCTATTTATGTTACCTCTGAGTATTAGTTGTTAAGTAATAATTGTACACTTTTCCAGAGACCACCCAATTCCCTCCTACCACCACCTTAAACATGTGAGCCAATTTTTGGCTGTCAGTATGGATTTTTTAACAGCTGCATTAACACTGATATTTTTCCTAAGCAAAATCTCTAGCGATTTTAGAAAAAACCTGATCATTATGAAGCATTATTTTGCATTTTTTTATTAAAAAATTGTCTGGGGAAGTTAGGGCACAGTGGATCAGATTTCTTTATTTTTTAAATTAAACAAAAGTTAAAACATGTATTTTATTTTTTAGGCGAAAGGATTGAGATTTTTATCCTTCATGATGATAAATCACTAAAACCCAAACATTTATTATGTAACGGTTCACAGAAAGGTTAAAAGAGTGTTGTCTTACGTTATTCACTGTGCCCCAGTACTGTGTTACAGTGAATTGATGAACACAGCTGTGAATTAATGATACTAAATAAGGTCATAGCCAAATAACTATGAGGCTACAAGAGTAAAGACACTGTACATTACAGTTTTGTGTTACTTTTATTATTAGATTAGTATTAAATCGGAAAAATAGACACTTTGATACTTTTATTATTAGATAAAATAAAAACTGTACCCCAATTCACAGTGCTCCTCCATAACAAATTAGGTTTATATCTAAATTTTTGAGACATGAGTGTTATTAAAAGAAAAGCAAAACTACTAAAAGAAAGCATAAATATCAATAATCAGAATAAAAAACTTCAACTTTTAAAATTGTTTCAACTATGATCTCCATAACAAACATAAGAATAGTAAGAAAATTTACTTTAGTTAGCTAAAAACAAAAAAATTACCTTCCAAAAACCAGTAGTCAAAATTTTTGTGATTACAACTATAAATGAAGATGGCTGATATTTGAGCACATAAAATGATTACATTTTTAAATGAAAAAAAATTTAATCATTGAAAAAATGCCTCTTTCACTTTGTCTCTTGATCCACTGTACCCCAACTTCCCCTATAAACCAATAGAATAACTATAAACAACAGGGTTGTGTTGATAAGAAATTAGAATGGAAATCAATAAAATATATTTATATTACTGTCTTATTTTACATTTTTATTATGACTTTATTATTCCTTAAACTGAATTTTAATAAAGTTACATAAAGTCAATCCGTTACATAAAGTCAACATCTAACAAGATCCGTCCCAGATATGGCAGCAGTATTCCATACAAGGCTAGATTTGAGATTTATAGAGATCAAGAATAAAATTCGGAGTTAAAAAATTTTGAAATGGATTTGATATACGGTTTCCAAGAAAGATCGGAAGTAAAGATTAATCCTAGAAGATGAAGGGTAGATGAATTATTGAGTACATTACCGTTCATAAATATAGGAAGATCTAAATTATTGCGATAACGGTTAGTTGAAAAAAATTGTGTTTTATCTGAATTAAAGTTCACCAGCCACTGTGACCTCCTTCCAATAGCAGAAGTGAGATCCTTTTCAAGCTAAAATGCCCCCTGCAAGCAATCAGAGAATATTGGCTTTTTATCATGACAAGAATAAATGGTAGCATCATCAGCGAAAAATGTCACTTTAGTTGTGAGAATATCTGGTGATCGGTAATGTAAATTAAAAAGAGTATAGGGCCAACGATTGAACCTTGAGGAACCCCACTGAAATTACAGGATATGAAGAAGAGCGCTGAACATTTAGGACAACTTATATACTATGATTGGAAAGGAAGGATTCAATAATCTTAAAGATATTTCCAGATAAACCACAAGAAGAAAGCTTATGGAGAAGACCAGCATGCCAAACTTTATCAAAAGCTTAATATCAATAACGATGTCCTTAACTTCTCCACCTTTATCTAATGCACGATAAAATCTATCGGTTATTACTGTCAGCAAATCAGTTGTAGAATGAGAAGATTGAAATGATCAGAAAGTAAGTTATTAGATTAAAGATGAGAGATTAAGTGTTTGTTAATTAAAGATTCAAAAATCTTGCTTATGATAGGAAAAAGACTAATAGGATGGTAGTTAGACAAATCAGATTGCTTCCCAGAGTTTTTTTGACTAGGTATAACAGATGCCGCTTTCCAGTAGGCTGGAAAATAAGACTCTGATTAGCACTTGCTAAACACTTTTAAAAGTATAGACAACAGTTCTAGAGAACACTTCTGCAAGACTATAACAGGTATGTTATACGGACCACAAGCTATAGAAAAGTCTAAGCAGGAAATCACTTTAGATACAGAAGCTAGAGTGATACGAATGTCAAGCAATGGATCAACCTGTTTGAAGGCTATATGAGGTAAAACGCAATTAGTGGAATTAAGAGATGATATTGATGAAAAGTTCTTAGCAAACAATTTAGCTTTGTCTTTAGGTGAGGTGACAAAGTCTGAACCATACAAGAGAGGTTTAACAACAGATTTACCCTCATTATTGATGCAGTTAAAGATTCTCCAGAAGTCACGAGAGCCTGAGAATAGCGGGTTTCGGTATTGGAATTTCATGACCTGAGAATAGCGGGCTTTGTCATTAGACAAAATCTTTTTATAATGGTTTCTAGCAATAATAAACATACGTCTGTTTTCTATACAAATGTTTTGCTGATAGATATGGAAGTAACAGTTTCGATTAGCAATTGCAGCAGCACAAAATGAGGAAAACCACGGAGAAGAGTGAGGCTTGACCTGGAATTGTCGAGAGGTAATGAAATGTTCCATGCCAGCCTGAATCCACAAAGTTATGTAAGAAACATATTTTCCAGCAGGAAGACGAAAGATATCTACCCAAGGGCCATGGCGAAGAAAATCACGTAAAAACTCCCATTCAGCTTTAAGGTAGTTGTAAAAGGTATAATAATAGGGGGATTCAGATGGTGAAGAAGAATGAGATAATAGTTTTAGAGAGATCAAATCGGGATTAGAAGCACCTTACGGTAAATGTGGAGAAACTGAGCACTGACTAGGATTAGAAAAAAGACTTAAGTCGAATAGAGAAGGTAAATGATTCGGATTGTCTGGAAAGCGAGTTGGAAAGTTGACTATTTGAGTTAGGGATTGAGAAAGGCAAGAGTTGTGGGCTTTAATACCTGTAGAGTCACTGACACTAGAGCCAAGCCATTCAGTGTGATGAGCAATAAAGTCACGAACAACAACTATATTGGTTGAAGGATAAAGAGAAAGGGCTTGTCAATTTCATCAGAAATAACATCAAAAAGAGTGCAGTCTTGAGATGAAGTAGAGCGATGTAGAACAAAGAGAATGGTTATAGAGTGAAATAGTGCTAAACAAAGGCGCATAAAAGAACAGTCTGCGGATTCCAACCTAGTTTCTCGACAAATTGGTGAGTTCTTACGAATGTAAATGCCTAGGCCAAGCATGTGACTATTGGAGTCTTTACAAATCAAAGGAAGCTCAGGAAAAAAAGTTCTATAGAATTTCTATAAACTTTTGAAACATATGGCCTATAGAAATTCTATAGAATGTCTGTTTATTTCTAAAGAAATTCCTATAGAACTTTTTTTTCTATAGAAAAAAAAGTTTTATAGCAATTTTTATAGAAATTAATAGACATTCTATAGAAATTCTATAGAATTTCTATAGACCATATGTTTTAAAAGTTTATAGAAATTCTATAGAACTTTTTTTGCCTCGGGATTTGTTAAAGAACTTGACTCAAAGCATAAACAATACTCAGTACACTGTTTAATAGCTCAAGCAATTGCCTCATTATTATTAATAAACCCTAAGTCGTAATAAAGGGCTCCAAATGTAGCCTCTACAATCCACACCCAAAGTACAAACAGGTACACCATCCATGCGCAAATGGCACCGTCAATACTTTGATATTTTTCAGTTTTTAATGGAACTAGCCTCTCTGAGAGCTACCAGAAAGTTCGAGAAATTTGATTACCAGCCGGCTTTTGCCATAAAACTCAGTTTTATGGCAGAACCATAAAACTGAGTTTTAGAGCTGTACCCTCATTAGGAGACAATAGAATGAGTTGCCTAGTCATAAAGACAGAGACACAAGCAAAACTCATGCATTGAGTTAAGAAGATCCAGCATTCAACATACTAAACTGGATGCAACGTAAAAATACATCTGCGCCAGCCTAATATATTATATATATATATATATATATATATATATATATATATATATATATATATATATATATATATATATATATATATATATATATATATATATATATATATATATATATATATATATATATATATATATATATATATATATATGTATATATATATATATATATATATATATATATATATATAATATATATATATATATATATGTATATATATATATATATATATATATATATATATATATATATATATATATATATATATATATATATATACATATATATATATATATATATATATATATATATATATATATATATATATATGAATATATATATATATATATATATATATATATATATATATACATATATATATATATATATATATATATATATATATATATATATATATATATATATATATATATA